CCTACAAGCTATTTGTGTATATATTATAACTTTCAGTTTTGTGTTTTTATGGATTCTGAGTGTAAGAATAAGTGGATCTCTGAGTCTATAATCTGTTTCTTGTGCTTTTCTTGGGCTCTTTTATTTCTGGCTTTTGTTGTGGTTTTTCTATTCTGAAGTGCTTATTTTGTGTTATCTTATCATTATATTATATTTTGTATTACATTAATTCCTTAGAAGCCTGTTTTTCTAAAGAGAGACAGAAAGGGATTGGATCTGGTTGGCAATGGGTGGGGGGGGACCTGGGATAAGTAAAGGGAGGAGAAACTGTGATCAGGATATATTATTTGAAAAATCTACCTTTAATAAAAGAAAAACAAAAGGAACAAAAGCCTTCATGATGAACAACTGTATATAATGAAGGGTCAACAAAGAATTGTAGAGGAGAGTGAGACAACAGAAAAAATACACAACCAAAGTGTGTAAATGTGGGAAAGAGATTAATATACTAGAGAAACTTAACAAAGAAAATGTATACAGGGGAAGACAGTACACATCACTAAGCTGAGGAACTTGACATCCACTTGTGCAAAACCTTGAATTATCTAGGAGGTGCAGCTGTTCATCAGGGATTGACTGAGTATAGTGATCTCTTCACAAAGAAAATGTAAGTTATTAGTATTCTCTACAATATTTTGACTCAGCATATTTTTCAATAAACTTATAATATAATGATGTACTAATTACTATGTTGCTATAATAAAATAGCCCAGAGAAAGCAAAAGAAATGCTGCGATGGACACTTGTTCAAATGTTGTATGGACTCCATTTATATTTCCTCTTGAATATACATTCGTGTAGACCAGCCAGGTAATATAGCAAATCTGTTTAATAAATTCTGAGTTACTGCTGAATTGTCTGAAGAGTCACTGTGTAATTTAGCATTTTAGTAAACATGTATGAGGATTTTAATGTCTCTAAATCCTCAATATATATTTTCATTCTGGCAAAGCCAGTGAATGTGAAGTGCTATCATAGGGCTCTTCTGATTTACACTTCCCATCTAACCACTAACAGTCATCACTTCATGTTCATTTGCTCTTTGAGCAGTATCTTTAGAAAAATTCTCATCAAAATCAATTCCAACTTTTGTTAATTACCTGAGAATTTCAATCATATTCACTCACCTATCCCTGGCTCCTCCCAGAGCTACCTTCCTTCCCACACAGCTCTTTGTCCTTACATTTATTTTTTTCTTTTTTGTAAAACCTATTTAGTCCAAATTGTGCTGTCCGTATGCTCTTAGGTTATAGCCATCCACTGTAATGTGCTCAACCTGCTAGGAAAGTGTACCCTTAAAGAAAGCCGACTCCCCTTCTCCCAAGAGCTCTCACTTGTCAATAACTCCTTGGCTAGGGTGGAACATGATGCTCACCTCCCTTCTCTATGATGGGATTTCCCTTGTCTCTGCCTTCTGTCTCACCAAAGGAGCACTGAGATTAAAGAAGTACACCACCCTGCCTGGCTTGACTTGATTCTGGGAAAGTTCTCACAATTTCTACATTCAGCACTTTGCCCCACAAACCATCTCCTCAGTCCCTACCTAACAGATTTTAATGTCATCATAAAGTTCCCTGTTAAGAGGGATCGGTGGAAGAGAGGTATATGGAAGAGAAGGCAGTGTTCTGAAGGCCCAACTGTGGAATGTTAGCTGCCAATCAGGAGCACAGGAAGAGGGACTTGTTTTCCTCCAGGAATTCCAGATGGAACACAGCTTTGTTGACACTTGACTTTGGATTTCTGACCTCCAATACTATGAAAGAATCACTTTCTGTTTTGTTAAACAAGTAGTTATAGAGAGTAATGAAAATTTATCCCTCAGCAATCAGCTCTTTAATATTTCTTTCCTGCACTAGACAGTGGGTATCATCAAGTTCTCAATTATATATTATATATTTATATATTATAACAAGGTATATATATATATATATATATATTACATCAAGGTATATAATATATATCAATGTATATATACCCACATATATATGTATATATACATAACTTGATAATTCTAGTAACTAACACAGAGCTTGCCAATATTTAGGATTTTCAGATACTTGATAAAATGGATAAATAGGTTATCATTTTAGATTTAAGCAGATAAATGGGTAAGATTCAAATTAATCTGGGAAAGAAAATACATTACCTCCATTTGTAAGATTATGCAGAGTGTACATCTGGTTATTTAGCAAAGAAACAGGAGTAGGCACTGTACAAATTTTATGATGTGGAGAAAAGCAGAGAAAGTTTCATAGAAGACATTACTGATGGACAGAGTTGGAATTTAGATTTATACTTAGGAGGATGGATATTCTCTGAGGATGGAGGATGCAGGCTAATGTGAGACCTCTGGAACAGGTTGTGCTTTCTTGGACACTGCCCTTTAAGCTGTGTGTTTCCAGGTGGGTCATTGTTAAGTTCCACGTAGTCCTTGCTATGTATTGGTCTTGTGTCACAGGCAGAGTGGTGCTATTCTGGGGGATCCCAATACAGAAGGGGTGCCCCAAGGCTTTAAACAAGAGATATGAGAAGGATCTGAAGCCAAACGAGAAACTGTCAGCATCACAGGTGAAATGTGAGGGAGCACTTCAAACTGAACGGTGGTAAAAGATCCAGCTGTTGAGCCTACTACGCAATCTCATGTAAGACGTTATATGAGCATGCTGCTCCAGACTCTGCTATGTACAAAGCCTGCTGCACATTGCAAATGCACAAATAAAAGCTAAATGTAAGAAAAAATAGATGCTGATTGCTTTTCATTTTGTAGGAGCTCAGCCTGTTGGCGTTGCCATTGGCGGACAATCTTGCCTTTGATTCATTAACTGCTTAAAACTTTTACTTGGAGTAATTACCCTCTCATGGTATTATTTTTAATTAAAAAATTGATGTAGATGATTTTTCTTTGGGCTGCCAGCTCACAAAAAAATGGCACAGAGAGTTATTACTGAATAGGAAGGCTCAGCCTAAGACTTAGGCTTCTCCCACTACCTATTATAACTTAAATTAACCCATTTCTACTCATCTGTGTTGCCACATGACTCATAGCTTTTACCTCTTCCACGTCTTGCTCCCTCTGTGGACAGCTGGCAACTCTGTCCTTCTTCTTTCCAGAGCTCTCTCTGTCCAGAAGTACCTGTTATACCTCCTTCCTTGCTATTGGCTGTTTAGCTTTTAGCTTTTCATTAAACCAATCACAGTGACGTCTTTTCACAGTGTAATCAAATATCTCACAACAAGTTGATATTAAAATTACATCTTTTCCCTCTTCCCTCTCCTTCCTTCACACCTTCCCATGTACCCACCCTTATTTTCTTTAAAATTTATGGCTTCTTTTTAAAAAGTTTGTTAAATATATGTATGCATGTATATATTTATATATATATATATGTATATATACTCAGTCTGTATTATGTTACTTGATTGTATATATTATCAGAGTGGACCATTAGTTATTGGATAATCAATTGATGTGCTTTTCCCTGAGGAAGACTTATTTCATGGTATTTTCAAGCAACAATGGCAAGGTCATATTACACCAGGTTATTCTTTAGGAACACTATGTACATGTGTTCATACATATATGTATTGTTTGAGTGTGTGTATGCATGTGAATGTGGGTATAGATGGTTTTTGCAAATAGGAGTCCATTTTATGCTGCAGTCACATAAGATTAACTTTTTCATGGAATATTAATCTTTTCTAATGTCTCAAGCCTACCATTTAATATGATTTAGCATCCATTTCAACTATTTATTCTTGCCTGGACTTCCCTCTGCTGAAACATAAAACCTCCCTATATGTCAAGTTATATTTCTTCCACGGAGCTTTCTGAGCAGGAGATAACATGTTGATCTTTGGCACCCCTACAGGACCCTAATTATATTGCAATGTGATCATTAAAATGACAAGTGCTGCCACCCTTCATTGAAGGTTTATAGTTTGACAGATTGGGTCACATGCTTTACATACCTGAGTTCTTTTAGTGCTCACAATGTTCCTGGGAAACAGCTCCTGTTGTCTCCATTTTGCAGCTGTGAAACTTGAATTTAGAGATGCATAAGCAATTTGTTCAATATGAAGTTTTATTTGGGATATCCATTGTTCACACACTGGGTACTCCTTAGAGCAGTGGTTCTCAACCTTCCTAATGCGGTGATCCTTTAATACAGTTCCTGATTGTGTGGTGACCCCCAACCATAAAATTATTTTCACTGCTGCTTTATAACTATGATTACTATTTACTGTCATGAATAGTAATGTGAATGTCTGATTTGCAGGATATCTGATATGTGATCCCCAGGAAAGGGTAATTTGATCCCCAAAGGGCTCACAACCCACAGGTTGAGAACCACTTGCCTCAGAGAATGACATTTTAGTATATCTGCCACCCAGTCTACAATTGGAGAGAGGTGCCTTTTGTTTCTTAAGTTATGATGTTTAGAGGTAGAGGCTATATGTTATTATCCTTGTCTTTTACTTTCTAAATACAGCAGGCATGACCTAGCAACTCAAATATTGTTTGCATGGATTGAGCAGTATCTAGAGTGGAATTACTGCAGTAAAAATTACCAGGTGCTAACATGTAATTTGTAATTTTTAAAATTATGCTAATGGCTAGGAATCATTATGAAAACTCAAAGGATAAAATTGATGGGTAAAAATGATTTATTTCATATTAACGATGGTTTTCACTAACATTTTATAATTCAGTATGTGTAATACACAGATTTATGGGATTGTTGGGTGTGGTGGTATCTATATGAGGTAGCAGGACTGGGAAACTGAGGCCAGCCTGGACTACATAGAGAAATCTGGTCTTGAAAGAACAAGGAAGGCAAGAAGATGATTTGGTTCATTTTATCAAAAGATTTTGGTTTAATCATCTGTTAAATGCAAATAGTTTCACTAATCTTATGTGTTTTTATTTCGTTCTTTTTGTTGGTGTCATGTATCATCGCCAGGATGGCGTTGGAGTTGATGAGAAGCTGTCTTTAAGGCGAGTGGCTGTGGTTGAAGATTTCTTTGACATCATCTATTCCATGCACGTGGAAACAGGGCCGAATGGAGAACAAATTCGGAAACACGCTGGACAGAAGAGAACTTACAAAGCAGTAAGTGGGAGAGGAGAGAGAAAGCCTGCATTCTGAATTTTGTTACTATTTTTGATGTTGACAGGAGTGCAAAGGGTTAGTAATGTCCCGTATTAGAGCCTGGTCAGACTCAGCACTTATGCCACAATTTATCACTTGCTGTGTTAGTCATGGGCTCTATTGCATAAAGTTTAAACCTGTTTCTATAATTCTTAAGTTAATTTCTCTAAATATGTATAAACATAATATTCCCAGTCAAACACCTATAAATAGGAAGACATAGTTGAAATGTATATTCAATGTGTCATAATATATGAATTATGTACTGGGAGATAAGAACATGATTATAATCATTCATATTCTTATTTCTTACCTCTCAAGTCAAATGAATATATTTGTATATTTCCTCTTCCATCTTATAGCAATATAGATAAGAAAATTATACACTATTTTTGTGTTATTTTATATGTCTTAATTTTCCTGAACAAAATATTAAAATATGTTATTTTCATAGTACCAATGCCCTTGAGTGTTTAAAAATTGAAATATATTATTCTATTGTAAATTATGTGAAAAGAAAATTTAATTAACTATTTGATAGTGGAATATACATTGTTGAAATGGAGTTATATTTCAGTTTTGAAGTTACTAATTGTACCTAAGTTTGATATACACATTTTAATCTACATTTTATTTAATTAAAATTCTTATAAAACCGTATTACTATAGATATTTCACCCTTTCTAGCAACATTGAAGGGTAAATTACTTTTTGCCAATACGAGCAAAGTGTACATTATAAGAGCTTTCTCAGCAGTGGGGATAATGTTCTTTTTATGACTTCTTACTGAGCTTCGCTTTTGGCTACCTTTATATGAACTGTTTTCAGCTATCTTGATACACAATATCAGTCTGGATCCATTTTTTTTTCAGATACAGAAAAATGTGTGAAATGCTCAAAGTTTCAAATACAGGTACATATGTTTGAAAATTAGCTCTGAGCATAAGAAATAGCTTCTTTTCATAACTATTTTTTGCTATATTGCCAGGGTCATATTGAATCTTTGTAGCTGCATAATAACCCTTAATACAATGTTGTTATTTATCCCTCCTTCTATACAGTTTTGTTTCTTGGCTGTTTCTCAATTGCATGGTTTGTGGGCAGGCACTAGTGTAAATTTCCTTACATAATTCTGCCACATAAACTTCCTTTTGACTTATGCACCCCAGGAGGCATTCCTATGACTAACGAAAGCGACCTAGCATCTTGGGATGTTTTATGTAGACTAATATCACTGAACATACCCATTCCTCCTGTTTCCTAAACCAGGGTTATTCCTTTGGATAGTAACAGAAAAATTATACATTGATCTACTAATACCACTAACTATGGACTCTTAGGATAATGCATTCTCATCAACTAGCTATGTGCACTTGACAGGACTTTGTGTGATAGGAATATACAAATTCTATCGGATTACCAGAAAATAAAGAATGAAATAAAATGAAAATATGAGGAGAAAGCACCTTCATTGTTGGTAGTGTGGTACCAAAAGCAACTTGAAATTATTTAGCCTTTAAAATGAATTTATCAGATATTTTAAATTCAAGCAGAGGCATGAGCCAATACCAGATCCAAGCTTTCACCTCATGTTTTGTTCAGTGACTGTGGATAATCTAATTTACAGACGCTAAATATTTACAGTGAATTTATTACTGTGTTTCCAACACATACAATTTTGTATCCACATTTCATGAAGCCCCTTCTGCATTTTGAGGTTGGGGAACTAGTCTCAAAAGCTTAAGCAGCACCTGAAACTCGTAGTTCCTCTTGAGAATGTCTTATTAGGAGATTCGCTCCTTCCTCAAGTTTAGTTCTTATTTCCACATTAAAGCTTTATCTCCTTGTCCTAATATCAAGAAAGTTCATTGTAACTTAAGTTCTTCCTAGTTCTAGCTCTCAAATGAATTTTAATTAGGAAACGTTTCAATTTTATATCTCTAATTCAATATGGGGGAAAAACTGCAGTGTCAGTGAAACTGTGCACATGACTATACAATGCGTGGAATGTAATGATAAAAATTAACGTAAATGTGCCATTAACGGAGCATAAAGCTAAAGTGCAATTACAATGGAATGGCATAGTACTGTCAGAGTCAAAGGCTGTTGGGCCAGAACTTACTTCTCAATGGTACCACTGGCTTCATTAGCTAAAAACCTTTTGCAATGCTAAAAGCTCCAATTTGACTTCAATTTTTTTCTTCCTTCTAACACATTAGCACATAGAGCATGCATAGTTATGTTTATTGACCTTTTTCTCCCCTTTCTACATGGCCAAGAAACCATACTTGTACAACTAATCATAAAAGCATACCATGTCTTAACAATATTACCAATAGATTTAGTGGTCATTTTGTTTACTTTGCCTTTTTTGCAAATATTCTTTCTATATTTCCACTCTGCAGGAAATGGTGGTCTTTTAATATTGAATTAACTATTGAATGCTATTTGATTTTCTATCTGCAGTATATCATTCCTTGAAATATCTAGGCATTATGCCAATTAAAGTTTATCTCTATCTAATTTGGCCATAGAAAAATTTGGAAGATGTCTAGTCTAACTCATGAGCTCTCAAAATCCACAAAAATGACACATTTTTGGAATATATGAGGTCTTTTGATAATTATTTAAGTAGTTACTCATTATTTTATAGGACATTCTTATTTTTGAATAAGTTTATTATTAACAGTTACTCTAGCATTAGATATGTTTCCTGTAGTGTATTTGACTAGAGTCAACTTATAATTATCCACATTAGCATAATAGACCATTTAAGTACCACTTGTGTTTGAGCTTAAAATATATCTTCTTATGGAAAATTGAATGCAGAAATACACTTTAGCAATGTGCAATGTTACTTCAGAATTAATGATACAATAATAGTTTACATATGTAATTTAGAATATTGTCCTGTGCTTCAGTCCTTAACTGTAATTAGCTTTGACCTAAATGATTCCTTAGTGAAGACACCACTGTTCTCTCCAGCTGCCTTTTGCCCCTCCCACTTCATCATGAGCTGAGCACAGCTGCTTGCTCAGCAACGTGTTTTTAGTTAGGGCCTGGGGAAAGACAGTGTCATCAATGTGAGAACATCTACATGTGTATGTGTGCACACACGTACATAATTTGTAGTATGAAATAAGTAATGTACATGTACTACTCTCTCTCTCTCTCATATATATATATGTATATATATATATCAGTTAACAATGGGGTTCATAAAATTTTCTTGCGTTTACATACTGTATTTCAATCATATTTTCTCACTGATCATTTTCTCTTTTCCCTTCCGTCTTTCCCATGATCCCACTTCTACTTTTAGTATCCTTGTATCCTTTTTTCCTGATGACTCGATGAGTTTCATTTGGTTGCTTACAAGAGCTTGTGAGGGAGTATATATATATATATATATATATATATATATATATATATATATATCCAATAATGACATTATTTAATTCATGGTAGAGAGCTATAGCAAAAAAAACAAAATGCTAGAAGCCAGGCAGTCAGAGTTCTAAATTTCAGGGTTAACATTTATTTGCTGTCTGTGGTACTGTAGGCAATTATTTGCATTTTCTTCCTGCCTTTGGGAAGAGGTACTGTTGTGCATGGTGGGTTAAATGACTTTACATATGTAAATGGCTTGACATGTGTTGATTTTGTGATGAGTGCTATGCTTTTCTCTACCCAATCAATTCCTGGTATCCTCGCAGAAGAGTGTACAGGACAGGTGGCCTAACTTAGCTCTCCAGACAGAGGATTATGGGTCCTTTAATCCTTGGTTTTGCTGGTTTTAAAGTTTAGGTTTCAAGATAATAAAGTTTCATATTCAAATATTAATTTTTGCTTATTAATTTTCTAAGGAACTTATCATCTTAATTTTCTGAAAAATATTAAAACTGACTTTTTAATATTTTAAAATATTATTTTTAATAAAATATTTAATTTAATAAAATATAAAATTTTAATATGTTTTATTAGCATATATTAATGACAGTTAACAATGGGGTTCATAAAATTTTCTTGTGTTTACATACTGTATTTCAATCATATTTTATCACTGATCATTTTCTCTTTTCCCTTCCGTCTTTCCCATGATCCCACTTCTACTTTTAGTATCCTTGTATCCTTTTTTCCTGATGACCCGATGAGTTTCATTTGGTTGCTTACAAGAGCTTGTGAGGAGTTTGTTCACAGGGGCACTTCATCATCAGCCACACTACTAGAAAGAGAAAGTCTCTCCCTCCAACATCAATCATAAAACCTACTCTTTAAAGACTTGTTTTCAATTGGAATGGAAGATTTTGTTTTAGAGAAATAGCCTAGAAATAGCATATTTACACAGGACTTCATTTCTTCTCTGACAGTTTTTAGGGAAAAAACTTGCTGTGTAGTATCTAGAACACACAACTTTCAAGCTTTAGTTTTTATCACTTTTGTCCTATAATTATCCAAATACCTGCTGTTTCCCGTAGATCTGCCTTAAAATTGATATTTTAACCTTAATTTAATTCTACTAATCTGTTATATTAAAAACTCCCAGAGTTCTTGTGAACTCATGATGAATGACAAGCCTTTTGGTGTGGAGAGACATAATTGAGCTAAAACATAATAAGTCCTAACAATTTATTCAAAAATATTTTTGGCTCCAGGAGCTGCTGACTCGTGGATATAACATGGCAGGTCTTTATTCCACTTATTTTTAAAATGGTTTACAAAGTGATGGTAATATGTGAGACCATTGCTATCCTTTGAACAAAAGATGGAAATACTCACCAAAGTGAGCAAACAGGAGGACCTAAGTCATGGCCTAGTGTATGGGATGCTCTTGGCTTTCATAAAATCAGACTGCCTCACAAGCATTACTCAGAGATAGAAAAGCCTTGCTGTGTTGTTATCTAGAGTTCTACAGGGATGATAATCATGGTGATGATGATGGTGGTGGTGGTGGTGGTGAT